CAGTGGCCCAGTACACAGAACGGCCTGACGTTGGGAGTTTAGTGTCCCGCAGTTCCACCTGGAAATTGCCAGTCACGTTATCTTCAGATTTTGGCTTTGTAAATGAAGTCCAACAGGACAGTGCCTCCCCTTGTCACTTCTCTGCCTCCCTGGGATTCCTTCTCGGCCACCAGCTCCCATGTTGCCTGGTACCTCAGCCCTCGCCATCCTCAGCGTACCCAGGACCAGTGTTGCGCTCGGCCCTCAGCAGAAGTCCAGGCACCAATGCGTAGGAGGCCAAGGTCATGTCCCAGCATTCCCTGTGTTCTGGATGAGGCAGTGGCAACTGACCCAGCCCAAGCCTGGCAGTGCCACAGCGCACTACGCCTTGCCTGTGCCGCCACAGAACTCACGATCTCTTGGCGGTTGTGCCCATGACGTGGGTTGCTGCAGAAAGTCAGTGCGTGATCACTAGCTCAACTTCCTGCTCCTGGCGAATGGCCGGTCTGTCTATTCAGCATCTCCTCCGAGTGGAGGCACTCAGCAGCTGACGGACCTATAGGCTTTTGAACAAAGGTCCCCATCATTCTGTTTTGCACTGGGACCTGAATAGCAGGTCGATGACCCTGTGTTCAAAGTCTTTATTTGCAGGTCAGGTGTCTTTTTCCCGAGTGCAGACCATGCGCAGGCTAGTCGCATGGACATCTTCCCTTGTGTATCTTTTAGACATTTCCAATTTAGCGGGTCCGAAAGGATTTACACACTTGGCCCTCACAGCGTTCCCCTAAATCAAAAGATGCTATAAGCGAGCTACATGAACAGAATCATTTTGCCTCTTGCTTCTCTTGCTTGTCCCCGTATCGAATCAGTTGCTGAGCAGCTCCGCTGTATCTATTTCCTGCTCTCTTAAATGCATCCTGTAGTTGTTCATTGCTACGCTGGATCGCATTTTAGCGGAGACCTAAAGGAAGTAGAAGATTAATGCATGTAAGTGTCTGAGGGGTTTTAAGCAGAAGAAGTTAACACAAAGGTTCCAAGGAGAACTGGTGAAGAAGCCACAGCATAATAGATTGTCTCAAAATTTCATGCCTTACAAAAGTAAGTATGAGGCTGGTGAGATGGCTCAGTGGTCTAAAGCACCTACTTAGAACAAGCTTAGCAAAGCACAGGGAACACTGTTCAATCCCCCAGCACCACATGCCAGCCAGCTCCACCCCCTGGTGGGCTGAGCTGGCCACACACGCATAAATAAATAAAATAAAATAAAATAAAAAAAGTATGATCTCACACAATTTATGTGTATGTGCCATTTTATTTATTTATTTATTTTTGTATTTAGAACAGGGTCTGCAGAATCTACAGGGTTTCACTGCGTAGATTGGACTCCTAATGATTTGCCTGTGGTTAGCCTCCCGAGTGCTGGGATTATAGGTGTGCACCACCATGCCCAGTCTTAATCGCAGTCTCAGTGCCCCAGGGGTGGGGCCAGAACAGTAGGCCAGGGGATCTTAAGCCGATGAGCTACTTGACCAGCCCCTCCAGTGTGCCATTTTAGAAAGGTACTGCAATTGGGTGATTGTTCCTGATAACGTAGAAGGAGATCATTTTAATGAAAAGGAATAAAGAACTACACACAAGCGCGAATTGTGGTGTTGGCCCGGTTGCAGTACTGGACTAGAAGGAAATGCCTACAAGATCTTGGACAGAGCATGAATCAGTACAACTTTTTCCTTGCCAGGTATTCCTGGAAAGAGAAGTTGAGGCACTGAGAGATCTGCAGGGATTTATCTGTAGTCAGTGC